CCCGATGGCCGTGTGCAAATCGGTGTCCGGTTGCAGCCAACTTCTGGCGACCCCAGCAAGGGGCTTTTCGGGAAGGTGAGACGCAGAGGTGGCTTGCCATTGCTTTCCCCTGCAGAGGCTTCCACGGTGGCCTCCCTTCCAAGGACTGGCCCCCTGCTTCGCTTCCCAGATCGGGCGATGCCGTCCCGCCCGCCCTCCCTGAGCCCCCTGGACTGGAGCACAATACAGAAGACTCCCTCTTTCTCTCTGTTCCCAGTCAATGCTGGCTCCAGCTCCCTTTCCCCTGAGCAGCAAAGGGGTCGGGCTCCCCCTGGAAACCTTGTTGTGGTGCGTCTCTCAGTTCCGCAGACTGCAATATGGTGACTTCCAGGCCCCCCCAGTTCCGTGTCCCCTGACAGCACCTGCGATTAATGCCCTCTTTCATGCGGCATCTCCTAGTCTCGGAGAGAAAACAATAGGGCAGATGCCCCCCTCCCTCTGATCTCAGTTCCTCCTTCTGCCCGGGGCCCCTGCTTCAACTCCCTTGACTCCGTAGACAGCGGTTGGAGAGGTTAGCCCTGCAAACCTATCCTGTTACTTTAGAACACTTTGGGAGAGACAGTCGTTGACCAAGCCCCACAGACAACAATAGGGTCATTTCTGCCCTCACATGGAGATGTCCCGTTCTGTATTTCCTAACCCCAAACACAACATCTTCTCCCTACTTTTGTAGACTATTACAGGACAGACTCCCCCACCCCTTTGTATCTTAGCTCTCTACAGCACAATAGGGCAGAGGCCACAAGACCTATGGTATGTAATCTCCCCCCCCCCTGCATCTTTTCCTGTAGAAAATAATGAGACTCCCATCTTTCCTTTACACTTTCCCCTAAACCTTAGGGGGAGAGGCATTTTCCCTCTCCCTTGAGTTTTCTCTCCTGCACCCCCATAAAGAACAATAATGCAAGCCATATGTATGACAGAAACCTTTCCCTTGTAGTTCCCCTGCAAGAAAAAAAAATACAGAAGTTCTTTGCTCTGTAGTTTCCCTCCCTACCTCCATAAAGCATGATACAGGAGATTTGTAGCTGGAAAGAAATGACATCTCTCCCCCCCCCCCGCATCTCCACCCCTGCTTTTTGCCATGAAGTTGCAGCTAACTTGCAGCAACCCTGTCGGGTTTTCAAGGCAAGACATATTCAGAGGAGCCTTGCCGTTGCCTGCCCCTGCATAGCGACCCCGGTATTCTTTGGTGGTCTCCCATGACCCTGTTTAGCTTCCAAGATTTGACGAGAGAGGTCTAGCCTGGGCTATCCCGTGCCCCTTAAGACACAACTGAAGGCAAATCCTCTCTTCCCCATAGACGTCAGTTCTTTAGGGCATAATAGGACAGCCTGGCATAATTGTGCACGTGGCACCCGTGGCGAAAAGCGTGATGAAACTGTTGATGTGCTCTTTCATGCCAAAGTTCCCCTGCAGCCACGATGTACCCTGTGCTTTGTTGACCCTTGTCTGTGAATAGCAAATAAAATGTGGAATGCACTCAAGTAATCCTGTCCTTTCCTTCCACTGCTGCTTGCTTCAGGCCTCTGAGTCAGGTGAGTGTGGCTTCACCCCGTAGGGACAGGGTCACCCTTCTCCCTGCAGCCTGCCCTTTTGGAGTCCAAATGACCGGTGAAGAATGTTTTCTTGGGTTTGGGGAGGTCTGAGAAACCCTTACTTTTGCTGCTCACCCTCTACCTATATGTATGGAATGGTAACTTCTATTTCAGTGTATCTGAAGAAGTGTGCTTTGCACACGAAAGCTTACACTTTGAATAAAACTTTGTTGGTTTTAAAGATGCCACTGGACTCGGTTTCAGGGAGAGTGGGATATAAACTGAATAAAGTAAATAAATAAAATCTAACTTTGTTTTGATTCCAAAGGAAACAGGTGATCCATTTGGTTCCCTAAGGCTTAGGTACCTTTGGGACCTGTTACGTTTATCAAACACTACAGGCAGGGCTTTTTTTGTAGAAAAAGCCCAGCAGGAACTCATTA